GGGCTTTGTTGACGTCGTCTCCACAGCAACGGGCAATTTGCGCCTCAAGCTCCCCTAGGGCAGGTACTCTCTTTCCCGCACCTGCACGGCAGCGGCACCTTCCCCCCCTGCACGGTGTTCCTCCCCCTTGCACTTTGCTCTTGCCACCCAATGGTTGTGCCAGTGCTGCACCTTCTCAGCTGCGACGGCGCTACCAAGTACGTATCCGTACGTACCAACAGGAAAAGGCATGCGCTCCGATACGTACCCAAGCTGACCTACCACGCTCCTTCTCTTCCAAGCTTACCATACTATTTCTGTACTTCTGATACATTTCCTCCCACGTTTTCTCGCATCTCGATATAGCGCCATCACGTACCCTGAGGTACCCCATCGTGAGGATCCCGTCATTGCGGGTTCCTCCCAGATGGCCCATCAACCACGGCTACGGCTACGGCCACGAGCAATCTTTAAAACATGTCGTTCAAAGACAAGGACCTCCTGGTTCTGCCCCCTGCCGCACCTTGCGGTCGCATCGCATCGAGGCCAGGTTTTCTTCAAGTCGAGTCTGACTACTGAAGTCTGATGCTAGCTAGTTGCTTGAGCAGCGTATCGAAATCCCGATTTTATTTATCTTTCAAGTTTCTGGCCATACATCCGTCCGAATGCCCGTCTTTTGCGACTGCCGTCGATGCCAACCTTGTTGTCAGGGCATAATCCCATAATCCCCATCCAGATATATCAACACGAGCTCCAGAGTACGCTTACACCGCAACAATGTCGTCGCCTCGTTCCTTGCTATACCTGACGCAAAGTGGGCACAGAAACAAACATCCCAGCCCAGATCAAAAAAATACTCCGTCTCCGCAGTCAAGAAATCGAATCAAGGACGTGCGTGCTTCCCTCCCGGACTCGTCCAACCAGCACCTTGATTTGATCACCGATCGCACAACCCTGGCAACCGGACTTCGAGCCCGACGTGTGGAGGACAGCCGATGGCCCGTCCATCCATCACCCAAGACTGCCATCGCCTGTAGTGTAGGCGCGCGCCGTCTCACCTTCCCACCGGCTGCCAACCACGCGGTACCGACGATGCACAGCAGCAGCCGCCGTCGTGCGTTGGTGCAGCCACACTCGAGAGTCCATGTTTCACCCGCCGCTTGCCACCAAGCCAGAATGTTTCCAAGAGACCACACGGAAGTCTATCCTCATCTCCCTTTAGTCACTCGTTTCCCCATCTCCTTCGATGAATCTCTTTCGATCTTGTTCCCGACTTCGCCGCCAGGTTCGATGAAGAGCTCCTTGTGCAACATACCTCTTGCACGTAATAGAAAGCATTTCTCCCCACTGTTCTCAAGACAAGTGTCGGTCCAGCTGGATGCCGAGCAGGTAAGACTGCCTGAATTGCTGGATGAACTAGGGCTCCAAGTACTCCATCTGTCAGAACTCGCTATCATATCGTCTCTTTAGGTCCACCGTCCAGCTGGCTCATTGCACAGATGCGCCGATTATTGCAATAGTCCCATGTGCGTCAAAACCAATTTGCTGGGAGCGCTACGCATAAGCAGTGGCCTTGACAGGCAGCACGAACACGGTATTGTAATAGAGTTGGTAGTTTCATGTTCATCATTGTGGCATGGTTCTCGAACTATGCCTAGAGAAGTCCATAGCCATATTCCGTGAGTGCGCTTTACAAGGAAGCAACCATGAAGCATCACGAACCAGTCGCTTTTGAGAATCTTGACGGCCTTTTATACACGCGCAAGATGAGTTTTCTGATCATCGGCATTTGCATTCAGCAGTCTTACAAGAGAGGTAAATGTGAGCCCCAGCGTTGCGGCCAAGGACTCGGTAGAAGCCAGGCGCAACTACCAGCCCCCAAGGTGCTACCTACGAGACTTTTGATAGATTTCTGAGATTTATCTCCCATTGCTTCTTCCAGTACGTCGCATCCTGCGCTAGCATTATAGCAGCCTCTGCAACTATCCGTGACAACGAGGCATAGGAGACAGGGCTGCTTTCATATCGCTTCTGAGACGCGCCCCTGGCCTAGACATCAGACCGAATTATACCAGTTGCCGGCTACAGGTATCCTTATCAGCTGACCATCACATCCATCAACTATTTCATGGTTCAAAGCGGTTCATCGGGAGAGGCTATGAGTTCACAAGGTGGGCGATTGCAAGTGACCTCGTGCGAGACCATCAAGCGACTGTTGGTGGATTCTCTCAGCCGACCAGGAATAAACTGTGTTGAAATTGCCTCGCATGCGATCGCTGCTCCTGCTCTTGCGATTTAACCATTGCAAAGATCGTCTGGAGGACTGTAAGAGCCATTGCTTCACCGACAATGTGGGAGCATAATAGGTGATCGAGTCATCGTGTCTCTAGCGAGGCCGAAAGCCGCTCACAGAAGAGGAACGTAGTTGGTTTCTGTGCCATGAACCGAGCAGCAACGAGAGAACATACCTGTGAAGCACTCTCGTGGAATAACAGACAGACCATGGCACTCGCTGGTCTATTTACCTAAAGCCCCACTACCTTCTTACCTGGCCTGGGTATTCTGCATTCATCGCCTCCTACCGTTTTCAGCCTCCTCAAGAATGTATCTTGGAGCTTCTGCAGTCCTGTTTATATATAACCCAAGTATCAGTCGCTAAGAATTCATTCAAGTGAGGGAGACTTTTCCCTTGAGCACTCATTCAAGTCGTGAAGCTTACGCTTCGAAGCCTTCAAGGGGGGATTCACTGGAACGTTCCTCTCTTTGCATTGCTGATCGGTCAATATTCTGGCATTGACACTTACCAACGGAGATTCCTCAGAGTACATACATCTGTCGCCAAGATCATGATGATATACATATGCAACTCGACTTGCGCAGGCTCATTGAGGGGTTGTCAGGAATCTGAAGCCTTACTAAATTGCCACAAAGCAAAGGCGTGGGGTCATGTTGGAGCTGCTTTGGGATTGTCGCGAAGCACTACCTATCATATGAACAGCGAATTAATCCAATGGTTCCAAGGCCAACATCTATGCTATGATCACATGATGCAAACTTTGCCCTTCGCCATCATGAAAGTCAGGGATGGATCTCACGTGAACACGGGGTCGAGGGGAGTGGTTAAGTTCACGCCGGAGCTGAGGGAACTCCGGGGCCGAATGAGCCAGAGCTACATCAGTCGTTCTGCCGGGGTCCAATACTCAAAGGCGGGCGGTCTATGAATGGAGGGTGTGAGGCTCTGGGGAAAGCCTCGGGACCAAGACCAGCAAGATTTCGGATCCGATCTCATTAGTGCCTCACTGGCCTGATAGGAGGTGGCACTGGTGAATTAGCGAAGGTCAGACGATATTTGCTCTCAGGTGAGGCTAAAAAAGGGGGCACGGCAAGACCCGCCATCTTGGGTCAGGGCCATGTACGCAGTATGCTCAGGCATCGTTGCACAACGTTGGAGAAGCTGGGGAACCATTATTGGTTTTGAGGAGAAATCCGGGAGGGCGGGTAGCGAGTGGTGTAAGAATCGGTCGATAATGATGTGGTTGTTTAAACTCGAGCTGTGTAATCCAGCTACGACCACTGGGTGCGTGTGGTCTGGTGTAGAGAAAAGGCAACAGTAAGGTAGGCACAGGTTGAGGTAGGGAAAGCAGCGGTGCAGAGATCAGATGACATGCACCTTTTGGCTCGACAGGGTTCAGCTGTCTTAATTGAGACTGCTATTCACCGCCGCCCGGTAGGTTCATGCAAGGGCCAGAGTCGGGACGTTTCCACCGAATCTTTCGGCAGGCTTTGATGACAATTGAGTTTCTGTGAGCTGGCAGCATCGGATGATAGTCTGCGAGTAAGATAATGAGGGCCGGTGATTCATTCTTCACTATCATACACGTGTACTTGATAGAACTCAGTCATGGTATAAAGTTATAGCTGTTAGATAAAATGGCGGAGTGAGGTCACCGAGGAGTTCTGGTCAGACGGCCTCGGGAGCTTCAGGGACCGACCAAGTGGGCTTTGGGGATCCACATGGGTGGGATACGACACGTGATTGGGTAAACATACAGTGAACTGGAGCTTACGAGATTTGAAGGTGACGGTCAGCGACGTCGCGGGTGCCGGTTCTGGCCCGTGCACCGTGCTCCCCTGTCACCGCGACAACCAGGGTCTTTTTTTTCTTTTCTTTTTTTTTTTTTCTCTTGCTGTCCAGTCGATCTAATGTTTCTTGCCCATCTCTTCACAGGTGACAGTGGTGACATTGGCTGGAAACAGTTTGCAGCGCGCTGCAGTAGCAGCAGCAGATGGAACCAAAGTATCGGGGCCGATCAAGATACGGAGTAGAAACGAAGTGGGAGGATTGTGAGGCCCCATGACCACATCAGACCTGCTCCATTTAGGTTGATGATTGCTGTGAATGACTGGGTACGGAGTAGGGACAGCTAGCTACTGGAACAGTGGACGTGGACCTTGGACCTTGGACCTTGGGACCTGGAAATAACTAACCCGGCCCCGACCCCAACCGGTTTCCTCCCATCTCCCGTCAATAATATCTTTGGCCTAAGCTTCTGAAAGGAACCAATTTCAGCTTTCTTCAACGGCTGATATTATCATTTATCGTCTATCCACGGATAATTATCCCTCACCCAGGTTGCAAGGCTGGAAGAGACGAACAGACAGACGCCAGACCAGTAGACGCCAGGCCACATTGGACACCATCTGCTGTCATCTGGTCCCTCTTTGTCGGCCCTCCCTTTGTCCATCTCTCTCACTCTCTTCATCCATCTCACTTCACCCTGTCTCGAAACCTTTTTCCATCCCACGTCTCGTCTCTTCCTGCAGAACTCCGGAGCTGCGACAATTTACCTTTCGCCCCGTTATTGACCCCCGACTGCCGGCTCGCACGCTCGCACGCGTCGCCCTCGGCACCCACCCCAGCAGCTCTCCCCCCCAAAAGCCAAAAAAGCGCAGACGAAGGGAAAAAATAGCCACACCACGCATCAACACCTCCCATAATCGCAATCTGACAAGTTCATGCAATGTCAGGCAACACCCTTAGAGGCACGCCCAATCGCGGCCAGGCCCGTGGAGGCATCCCCTTCACCCAGAGCCCCTCCGTCACAGGCTCTGCACCTCCCGCCGCCGTATCCTCCGGCATTCCGCGCCCTGTCCTAGAAACCCAGGCTACCCAGAGCGAAGTTGGCGGCGGCGGCGGTGGTGGTGGATCAGGAGTCAGTGCCAGTCGTCAGAAGCAGACCAAGAGAGATGAGGTATGATGCCCTTTTTTAAAATCTTCTGATAGTACCCCACGATCACGGACGGCCATTGAAACACTTCTACTTCTGTGTTCTCTGCCTTTGGAGGAAAGATACGCAGACCGCCGCTTGTCCATCTTCAGTTGTCGTCGTCGCGTCTCTAGTCTTGCTGGCAATCCGATCGCGTCTACTATAATCGGACGTCCAGAAGCTACCGCTACCTCCAAATGGCCAGACTTACCTACGGCGAGCTCGAAAGAGCCAGACTGCTCGACACAATGGATACTGACTACTACGTCAAGGCAATTCGCAAGAAGATGGAGAGCGATCTCTCCAAGAAGAAGCACCTCACGAGCCGAGCCCGTCACTCCCGCAAGGCCCCTCCAGGCACCGTTCTCGCCCTGAAGCCCAGTCAAGCCCTGCAGATCAAGCCCGCCACCACCGTCGCCGAGGCCGCCCAGCTCATGGCCGCCAAGCGCGAGGACTGCGTGCTCGTCACCGACGACGACGACCGCATCGCCGGTATCTTCACCGCAAAGGATCTCGCCTTCCGCGTCGTCGGCGCCGGCCAGAAGCCCAACCACATCACCATTGCCGAGATCATGACCAAGAACCCCCTCTGCGCCCGCACCGACACCAGCGCCACCGACGCCCTCGATCTCATGGTCCGCAAGGGTTTCCGTCACTTGCCGGTTATGGACGAGAACCAAGATATTTCTGGTATTCTCGATATTACAAAGTGTTTCTACGATGCCATGGAGAAGCTGGAGCGTGCCTACTCATCCTCGAGACGTCTGTACGATGCCCTCGAGGGTGTGCAGTCTGAGCTCGGCACGAGCCAGCCGCAACAGATTATCCAGTACGTCGAGGCTCTGCGTTCCAAGATGTCGGGCCCGACCCTCGAGTCGGTCCTTGACGGACGGCCCCCGACGACGGTCAGCGTGAGAACCTCGGTCAAGGAGGCCGCACAGATGATGAAGGAGAACCGAACCACTGCCGTCCTGGTGCAAGATCAGGGTGCCATCACTGGTATTTTCACCAGCAAGGACGTCGTCCTCCGTGTCATTGCCCCTGGTCTCGACCCCGCGACGTGCAGCGTTGTCCGCGTCATGACGCCTCACCCGGACTTTGCTCCCATGGAAATGAGCATCCAGGCTGCTCTCCGCAAGATGCATGGTAAGCTTGCTGTACTGATGGAGTGAAGGCAACAACAGCTAACCAATCATGTAGATGGCCACTACCTCAACCTCCCCGTCATGAACGAGGGCGGCGAAATCGTCGGCATGGTCGACGTTCTCAAGCTCACCTATGCTACCCTCGAGCAGATCAACACCATGTCTACTTCAGACAGCGAAGGACCCGCGTGGAACAAGTTCTGGCTCTCGCTCGACGACGGCACAGAGTCCATGATGTCCGGCGAAGGCAGCCACACTCACCACACAAATCTGGGCTCACGCATTATGTCTCCCGATATCACCCGGGAGCGCATCGGCGACAGCGTGGCTCCCGGCGACTCTGCCTCCCACGTTGGTCTGGAGTCACCGCCTCGTTCCGCCGTCACCGGCAACAGCCCAGCTCAGCAGTCCCCTGCCGAGCTACCCTTCCCCTTCAAGTTCAAGGCCCCGTCCGGCCGTGTTCACCGCCTGCAGGTCATTGCCTCCCAGGGTATCTCAGCAATGGTTGCCAACGTTGTTGCCAAGTTGGGAAGCGAAGTCGATGCCATCGGCGGTGCTCCAGTGGCCGACGAAGGAAAGATCTCTGGTGGTTTCGCCCTCAGCTACCTCGATGACGAGGGTGACTCTGTCTCCATCACGACGGACAACGATCTGCTCGAGTCCATCCTCCTCGCCCGCCAGAGCCGGCATGAAAAGGTCGATCTGTTTGTTCACGACCCCGAGAAGCCCCCCGTTTCCGCCGCACCCCCCACCATCGAGACCATTGCGCTCCCCACCCCTCCCATTTCCGCCACGCCCGATTTGCGCCGGAGAAGAGCCTATGATGACGAGGACGACGAGGCGGAGGATGAGGACGAGGATGAGTCAACGATCCGGAGGTCGCGTCGCGCGAAACATCACGCACCCGCGGAGAAGGAGGTCATTGCCGGTGTCCCGAACGAGCTGCTGCTCCCTGGTGCCATTGTGACGTTGGCAGTTGTCATCGTCGGTGTTTTCACGATCTCTCGCCTGACCAGTAGGTAAGGGATGCGCTACAGAGAGAGAGAGCGAGAGACAGGAAAGAGGAGGATCTCAATCACGACTTTACGAGAGTCCTTGGCGAAGCATTGTAAATATGTATCGAGTATTGTTGTCTTTACTAGACTTGAGTACCCCGACGTTAAATTAATACACCGCACATCCGTTCTATCAATATACTGAGAATGTGAACCTCTGGATTATGTAGTCTCGAAGCGTACCTATGATTGTATTGATCATCCTGCTGCCAATTGATGTGCTTACCTAATGTGTGGGGCGCATCCACAAGGGCGCTGCGGAGACTTCCGTCCAGCTTCCCCGAGAGCTCCAAAAATTGTTCCTGGGAAACTGCAGCAGCGTAACGACTCCTGAGCACCCAACGCCGCCCGCCAGAAAGCCATGATCGTCAGAAGCATAGTCAGCCGGCATGGTACGTGGAAACCTCTGAAGGTGTTCAATCCAATTGATGAACTCGCGCTAATCCTGTCTCGTTCGTATAGGCAGCAGAGCCCTGCTGGCACCAGCAGTCGCCCGAACATGCCACCGCGCCGGCATCACGACCGACGCCCTCGTCGGCACCATGACGCCCGAGACCTTTGCAGACCTAACCACCTCGGCGGCCCTCGGCCAGATCCCTCACGCCGCCGCCTCGCTGCAGAACGACCCGGACGCGGCAGCCAAGCGCGCCGAGGCGATTGAGGCCCGCTCCAAGACGGTACCCAACGCCTACAACCGCTTCCGCCGGCAGCAGAACCTCAACGCTCGCGTCGGCGCTGCCGTCGCTCGGCCGTACGTGCCCTCGCAGCTGATTGAGAACCCGCCGCACCCCAAGGATATCAGCCTGGAGCTTCTGATGGCGAGTCAGACGCACATGGGACATCACACGTCCCGCTGGAACCCGGCCAATGCAAAGTATATTTACGGTGTGAGGCAGGGGATTCATATTATTTCCCTCGAGACGACGGCGGCGTACCTCCGTCGCGCGGCGCGCGTCGTCGAAGAGGTGGCGTACCGCGGCGGATTGATCTTGTTTGCGGGCACGCGGAAAGGGCAGATGGATATCGTGACGGGAGCGGCGAAGCTCGCGGGTGGGTGTCACTTGTTCACCAAGTGGACGCCGGGCAACATTACGAACCGCGACGTGATTAACCAGGGCAAGGAGGTGCGGATCGTGGACGAGAAGGATATCACGCTACAAGGGTTTGAGAGGTTGCAGAGGACGGGCAGGCCGCTGGTGCCGGATTTGATTGTGTGTTTGAATCCGAGGGAGAACTATACCATGCTGTACGAGTGTGGGTTGGCGAACGTGCCGACGATTGGCATTATTGATACGGATGCGAACCCGGATTGGGTTACGTATGCCATTCCTGCCAACGATGACAGGTCAGTATTTTTTCCACCCTTCTTCTCCTTTTTCTCTCTCTCTCTCTCTCAAGCCGAACCCCACATTCAACTCCCCAGTCTGCCTCATTGCTTTTCACTGTTAACTAACAATGACCGTCAAACAGCTATCGATCCGTCGCCGTCATTGCAGGCGTCCTCGGACGCGCGGGCGAAGCCGGCCAGAAGCGCCGTCTCGCGGCTGCGGAGAACGGCGAGTCGGAGTGGGCCACCCCGCTGGAGACGCGACGATTCATGACAGCCCAGGGGAACGCGTGGAAGAAGGAAATGGCAAAGTGGCAGGCGACGGCCTCGCACGCGGCGCACAATGCGGACGAGGGCGAGGAGGCGAGGTTGCTTGAGATGTTGCAGGTTGATCGGACCAAGGCTGTTGATGGTGAGCTTTGAGGTGTTCCGGTCGGGGCAGGGTGGATTGAGTGTTGCGAGTTAAGGGTGTGGACGATAGAGATGGAAAAGGGAGAGGTAAAGTGAGGGAGAAGGATTGTCCATTGTTGGACTCCGTACTAGACTACCTACCAATGTATGAACATGTACCAGTATTTCTATAGAAATTCGCCCTTTGCTGCTATCGACGGGCGTTTCTCACTATTTTTTTCTTGTATGTGTGAGATTGGGAGTGATATGTTTAAGTTGTTGGAGGTAAGTTATTTGCTTCCGGCCCATCTCGTGCCTTTGTAAGACTAAGCATCTACCAATCCATTCTACGACAGAGCTTCATCTCATAGCTGATGCTATACCTACCTTCATTCGAATGATTCCAGATCTGCAATGAATGCTGTCAGCCTTGACAATTATCTTGCTTGGGCTTTATTAGATATTTTCTGGATGTTCATATCTATTATACCATAGGACCTTGGATCCGTCTCAAGGCACCGTGGGCACCTAGTCCGGCATTGACCATACGTGTTACATGTAGATGAGTAGGTACTCCGTGAAGCCTTCATATGAGACGAACGTATATCATCTTTACTTTATACGTGTCAACGAAAAATGAAACTAGCTTAATTGTATGTTTGTCGTTGAGTTTGGCTTGGCTTTGTGTGAAGGTAGGGGGTAGACAACGGGGTTGGGTTTGTCTATCCGTTGCTAGCAACTCAGATGTCAAGATCTTGGTTTTGTGACAAGCTGGACCCCTTTCGCTCTTTCTTTCCTCACCTACGTGGCTGCCAGATTAACATGTGGTCTGTATCCCAGATGAATTCTATCATCTACGCAGTGGGGATCTTCGGTATGCGCTTCATGTTTGCTCAATGGTAAGGTTTACTCGGATGAAGAGTGCGAAGTAGAAGTGAGTGATTTTCGGGGACAATATTCGAAAACGGTGGGCACAAGAGCAAATCCCATTATCTAGGCCAAGGGAAATGTTGACGATTTGGATCACAAGACTCAGCAAGAGGTACCCTGAACTTCAAGTACAAAGAAAATTCAATTTCTTGAATGATATCGAAAGGTTGGTATCTCAAAAAACGCTAAGAAATGTGGTATCAAGTCTAAAAGTTATCCCCTTCCCTAGCAACCAAGCTGTTGTGATGGTTGAATCGCCCAAGAAGGGAGAATATGAAAGTCATAATCATACGCTTGTCGGCCAAAATAAAGGGCCAAAGTAGAAGAAGTTTCCTCCTCTTTCATCATCACTATTCCGCGTACCCCAAATCCGTTCCCGACTTTATCCCCAGATGGGCTCATCGCGAGGAATTTCAGGCATGGCCCGCGGCACAGGCAGAGGCTTCGGGATGTTGGCGTTGACGTCCCTCTTCTCGGCTGGCTTCTTGCCGCACACGTTGGCGTTGTTGCGCGCGGGGTCGGTGTTGCAGATGAGGCCGCCGCAGCAGGGCTTGTCTACTTCTGTGGTGCTCGTGAAGCAGAGACCTGGAAAGAATACTCGTTTAGCATAGGTTCATTGGTTGACTCTGTGGAGTGAAGAGAGAGAACTAACCTCCTTCGGCGATGCATTGTCTCTTGATGAGGCCGGCGTCGACGCTGATGGCGGATGCGGCGCTGATCAGGGTGATGAGGGTGAGGAGTGAGAATTTCATCTTGACTGGTTTGTGTGTTGAATGTGTGTATTGTAGGTATATCGGCTGTGTGTACTCCGTACTCCGTATGTTGTATTGATTGTGTAGAGAGCGTGTTTGTATGTTATATGAGCACTTTTGTGTATATGCGACGTGTCGAATGTTGGAAAAGATTTTGTGTGAGAGCGAATGTTGTCGATAAAAGAGAGGCTAGCTGTGTGCTGTCACAGAGATAGATGGAGAGACCAAGCTGATAAGTTTAATGACACTATCGAAAGAATAGGAGGCGCCACGGGAAATTTCGTGGATGTCAATAGCGCTATATAACCTTAGTCCAACCTTCTTTGATTGATTACCACCCCATCAAATTATCAACTACCACACCCTCACCCCTACCTGCCGGGCTCCGGGCCAACACCCTCCCTTGACTCGAAAAGAATAAAGTCGCAATCGGGAAACAAGTGCTGGCCTCGACCGATCGAGGCTGTGTAGGTGGTCCCGCTAATCTGCATCAATTTTACACCCCCAATCTTGACGAAGTTTGACCCTTCAGATCTTTGGGCGGCCTGGGCTTCTGAGCCCTTCTGTGGTGTGAGTGTCCGTCAGATGAGCCAAGCGTGGTGACCAGACGACCAGACGTACGCGTACGCTGCCGTTTGGCACGGCGTCGCAAGTTTCGGCAGGAGGAAAGTCACAGGGTTACGCCCGTCTCACGGTCCGGTTCCCGAGTTCGTCGCAATATGTGTGCCAGTGTAGTGGGAGGTTATCCCCCTTCTTTTCTCACTCCTTGCTTCACCCCCGCGGGCGCGGAGTTTTGGAAGGGGTGGGAGTCACCGTCTGCGCGGTACGCCGGTGTGCCGGTACCTTAACCTTGGGGCACACCAAGGGAAAAAGGAACGCCTAGGTAGTACAGTCACCGAGAAAAGGAAAGAAGAATAGGTAGCCGCTAGGAACAGAGTTCAAGGCAACCCCGGGCTGCGAATGCCTGCGTGCCTGCGAGGGATTCTTGGGAAGGGGGACAGGTTTACGGCACTGGGCAGTGGACAGAACATGCGCGGTTTCAGAAATGAGTCCGATGTGATGGGCGGGCCAATCGGGTGGCCGCGGGGTTCTGCTTTTTCGAAAGAAAAGAAGGTTTCTAAATATATATGAAATCTGGGTGCCGTCTGGAGTTGGTGAAGTTGGGATGATGAGGTGGCCTCCTCCCTGGCAAGACTGACATCCGTACACCGAAGCTGTGCGGTAACGGTATTATGAAGGTAAACTCGATAATGTGCGAAGGCACGGTTCTGCAAGCAATGGCAAGGCTGTTGAGCATAGGCATGGGCAAAGACATGCTTAACGGGGATTATGCTCGCCAGCCCTGCCGAACAGGCCGGCATACTATCTCGCGGGGATACTGTACACCCAATCACGTCGTGTGCGATACGTCTTTGCTTTTTGAACAGATTGACTCTGTGAATTGTAATTGAGAGAGGTCCCACTTTGATCTCCGCGCCCACGAGGTCAGATTGATGGATGGAGTTGATGGGCATGGCATGGCGGCATGAGACAGAAGCACGAACCACGACGGGATGGTCCATAAAATCGTGAGCATTATCGGTCCTGCCGACCAGATACCGGAGGACACACAACCCGCCGCCCGCTGAGGGAGGCTGTAATCGTATCGTCAGTCGCATCTCAACCCCATTCTTCTTCTCTGGTGTCCGCAGATCCGTTGACGTTGAAGTTTGAGGGATCCCGAACGTCGTGGTGGACTTCGACACCCTCTTCACTCGTTACCTTTTCTGCCAACCCAACATCAATCCAAACACCCCCAAGGCTCTTGGGTAGCACGCAAGAAGAGATAGAAACGGAGTCAAAGCAAATGCAATCCGAACAGGTTTCAACTTTTCAAGCGGCTTTTTTAGAGTTTGGATCCTTACGTATACCAGAGGAAATCCGAAAATTAGGTCTTGGCAACCCCCTGTCTTCTCGCGTTTCCAGGATCCCGTCACAAAGATGAGACGGAAGTATGTTCGCCCCGGCCGTTGTCGCCGGTGGTCCAGTTGTACGACACATACATACACACGCCCCCACGAATCGTGGAAGCCTCGTGCTTGAGCGAGAGCTTGACTCAAGGAGAAGCAAAGCTTAAGGCGCCATGTTTGCAGAGCACGGGTGAAGTGCACACTTCAGAGTATCCACGGATACTAGCGGAACCAAATTCTTTCAAGTTTTCAAGAAAAAGGATTGCGAAAACTCTCTGCCCTTGGTCACGATTGATGGCCGCGTCATTTTTAACCGCTTTAATTCAAGCTAAGGTATCTCTTAGATTTGGCCGAGAAAAGAGTTTTTGAGATTAGGCACGGCTTTAGTGCGCCCCGCTCATCCCGGACGGAAGCGACGCCCCGAATGGCGGGCCCGAGGGAGGCCCCACACTATCTGCCATCAGCCCCGGTCCCCGGCTCCGTGCCCCCAATTTGAGATGGCACGAAGAGATCGGAAAAGACGACACGGATAAGGTGGGTACCTTACTGAGAGGTCCATTCATAAGAGTGATGATTTCTATCATGACTCTATCGGCCTTGTTGACCTGTTGCAATGAGATCCAGCTTTCGGTGGAAAACCAAACAATACGATATTAGCGCAAACCTTGTAGCAAGGTATTAGGCCAGGTGATGTTCCTCATGATATCGTTCATGTGAGTAAAGTCTGAATTGCTGACATGTCCGCTTGCCATGTAAGTAAGTTGTGAAAAGTCTATCAAGTAAATGAAATGAAAGAGAAGAAAAGAACAGGTCCGCCGCCGCCGCCCGCATCCACGGTATTCAAGACGCCAAATATACACCTCGCCAGCGCCAAACCAGTATCCTCTCGCCCGTTAACATCACCCATTTATAAACTCTATAGAATAGACATCCTTCTCCCTACCATCCTTCTCCCCCATGACCGCATCCGCATCTCCATCCACGCCTACCCCAACACCAACATCATCATCATCCCCCTGCTCAATCAACATATCCAGATCCCGATCCACAGCAGCCGCCTCTTCCGCCGACACCCCCATCTCTCCAAGCCCCTCTACACCTTCTTCAGCCTCTGTCGCGTTAAGCAACGCCTGGAAGTCGGTGTGGTGAGGGTGGTACGGGTTATACGGGTTCTCATGATGGTGGTGATGATGAAGATCATGATGCGACGTCGGTCCCGGAGGCCGTAGCCCGCCAATGATTTGCGGATCAATTGGCTGGAAGGACTCATCTTGTAGCATGGGATTGTGGTGCGGGTGGCGCGGTAAGGGCGAGGCCGAGGGGTCGCGGAGGGTGTGGGAGGGCGGTAGGGAGGTGACTTCCGCGTAGGGTGATGATCTTGGTGGTGATAGGGGCGGGAGGTGGTGGTGATGATGTGGATGTTGGTGTTGGAGCGAAAGGACATGATCTGCGGTGCTGAGAACTGTTGAAGTAGGCCCTGGTGATAGCGGCGGCGGCGGTGGTGATGTTGAATGAGTGTGATGAAATGAAGTATTCGTGAGGGGATTCACAACCGATACAGGCGGAGCAGAAGAAGTAGAAGAAGCAGCACTCGCAGCAGCTGCCAATGCTGCCGCCGACCTCCCCTTGGCACCACCCCCGTTTCCACCCCCCGGCGCAGGCGTCTTGCCGAGCTCCTTACACTCAGTACAGTTGCGAATCACATCGCTCGCCGTCTCCTTGATGCGACTCCAGTGGTACTTCTCTGCAATCGTCGCCGTCGTCTTGTTGATCCCGCCGTGGCCGGCGGCATGCACCTCGCGCGCAATCTCGTATTGCCTCCTCGGATCCGGCACGACCTCCTTATCCTTGAGCATCAGTCGTTCGCCCCCGCCGCCGCCCTCCCCCTCCCCGACCAGCTTATAGTGCGTTGCCGCGCTCCGGAGCCTGCTTTTCTCGGCGCGGTCAGCACCCGCCGGATACCGTCCATACTTCAAATAAAACTTGATCTTGTCGAAACGCTCTTCACTCACGAGGTCCTCCGACTCTGCACCGTTGCTGCCGGGGACAGGCAGGTCCCGCCCGTAGATGATGGCGTCAATGAGGGTGCCCGGGTACGAGGCGAGGTTGCCGCACCCCTTGACGCGGCCGATGCGCTTGAAGCCGAGGGCGTCCCAAATCTTGCACGAGGCCACGTTGGTCTCGTAGACGAGGTTGAAGACGGAGTAGGTGTAACCCAGCTTGGGCGCCCAGTCGATGTAGCACTCGCCCATGAGGCGGCCCACGCCGCGGTTACGCGAGGCGTCGGTGACGAGGAAGCCCGCGTTGCACACGTGGCTGCTACGGCCCGGGTAGTTTGGCTTGATGTAGAAGCTGCCGAGGCACTCGCGAGACCAGTCCATGTCGTCGTTGAGCTCCGCGTGCGGATGCTCGATATTGCCCAACATCATGACGGCACCGAAGTTCTGGAACCAGTAGGCGCCGAATTGTTCGGCCGTCATGATCTCCATCATCGGGTAGGTGTCGCCGCCTTCGATCTCCTTGTTGAGCTGGTCACTGAGGTAGCGCACCAGAGACGGGGGCACCTCGTGCCGCGAGGCAAAGGGGATGATTGTAGCGACGGTCTGGCGGTCGCGGAGCGTCACTTGACGCGGGGTGATGTCGGCCGGCAGGGAGGGGTTCATCGGGTCCGGGTACGGCGTTACCCCGGACACCCGGTAAATGGTGGGGCTCGCCGGGTCATCTAGCATGGCCGGCATTTTCGGGTAGTTTACTGACTCGGAGGGGGGCGGATCGGCACCGCAGGGGCCCTTCTTCCAATACAAAGCTCCCCGTAGAGGGGTGACGAGGGGTAGGTACTCCGTAGTCTGTAGCAGGCAGCGCCTGTTGGCCGTTTGCGACGGACTGAATTTCGCGGTACTGACTTTTATGATACCAAAAAAAGTCAAGAGTTAGTTAACATTTCACACGCGTATAGCAGTAGGGAAAGCAGCGGTTGATAAGAAAATACGCGCATATCCCAAGGTCGTGTTTGGCCCTGCACAGGCAGACTCCCCTATTTCACCCCTCAAGCCCCTCCCTTCATGATATCCGATATCTAAAACGGAGCCAATGGAGGGAGATGGAATTTGGAACAAGAGAAAAATGTAGGTTGAATTTGTAAGGAAAGGCTGCAAGTAAGCCTACCGAAAATCTGATCTGACTCTGCTCAATGCTGACTGATTTCCCCCAAATCGAGTCAGAGTAAGAAAGTAAGACACACCCCTCGGCCAACCTGCCGATTTGGCGCAAAAATGCAGTCAAGCAAAATGGAAAGACGGCGACGTGGTGGTACGGATGCACCGGTGGCTTTTGCGCTGCACTTTGGGTACGATCGGATAAGGTAATGAACCGCCTTGCCGTTTCAGCTTTTGCGATGACACCACAGCTGCTAGCATGCACGAATGCCTGACCTTGGCGGGGTGTGTGGAATCGGGAGCTGCTGCTGCTGCTGCTGTGCTGTGCTGTTGCTCGAACGTGCTGAAATGTTCGTTGGTGATGTGTTTCCTGGACCTGAGGCCTGAGGGGTGGAGGGGTTAAAGGAGGGAGGGGAAATGCGCAGGTTGCGAAGTTTTCAAACCCGGACTTTGGGACTTGGGGAAATGTAAAGTTATGTAATGGAGATTGAGCCACATTGAGCGCCACATTGTGGCTGAACCATACACTGTCTTTCTGTGTCGCTATTAGTGATCTCTGAGAAGAAGAAATGTAGTACGATAGTACGATGAGAAGTCAAGGTTTAAGTAATCATTATAATTAGGTGCATTTTACATAGATGCCTTTTATGGAGTCAGTCCCCCCGAAACAGGGCTCTTAGATCGACCGTATCGATTTAAGGGTGACTCCTGTGAATACATCACAGGCATCACCTAGATGATTTTGGGAATCACTGCTTAGACCGTTCACAACTCTAGGTTTTTTAATTTGGATCTAATCGACTGCGATGGCAGTCCTGCATTTCACTCTATCTCCATTATCTGCTGCTTTCATCTTTTAACAACAATGTATGGGACATAAATTCTATATTTGTTAGCGGCTAACGAGTACAGAAGGCATAGCAAGGAGCCATGAATACAATCAACCAAGGCGACATTCAAGCCGCAGAAGTTTGATAGCAATTTCGAGGTTTGAAAATGCCATCCCAAATAAAAAAAAGATGTTCGTGACGCAATAAGTTTTGCTTCCAACAACACAATCTTTAAATAGCATTGGCATCATTGGCTTCAAAGCCTCCTGTATTGTTAAAAATCGCTTAGATATATCAAATATATACACTCTATCTAGGTTGTCTACAGTCTATGGGATATCATACAGAGTCTCACTCTCATACGTCAATCAAGAGCCACACACATCGAAGCTGTTAGACTTCATCCGCATATGCCAATCCGTCATCGACGACATCAGCGACGGATCAACATTCCTATTCGCCTTGATGAAGACAGTTTCGTAAGGGTGAATGTTGCTCCCGAAATACTTCTTATCCCACAACAAGTCACCGGAATCTGGGTGAGCCTTGCAGTACTCTTCTACTCCCTCTTCGGAATGCAGAGCGGTCATCATGGCGTCGACTTTGTAGCCGGCGTTCATGATCAGGCCCGTCGTTCCGACCTCGGCATGAACAGCGGCGTTCCAGTCCGCGTAACACCCGCTCAGACCGACAGGGGCGTCTTTGCTTCCGAATCGGTCATCTTCAGACGCGCTTGTTGCGACTGTGGGGTCTAAGAGGATGCCCATGCCGACATCATCAGTGGCGAAGATCATGGACTGAACATGCAGTCTAGGTATGCAGTTGAGTGTCATTCCGACGAGCTGTAGGGAAGAAATCGTCTTAGAGTCCATGTCATGTCAATAAATCAAAAGAACTGCGAAGACTTACTTTGGTTGTCTCCGTCACCTTGCTCAGGTACAGGTCCGACCAACAAGACGAGCTCCACGCCGGTAGGAACGGCCCTCGAATGCTAGCATTCATCGTGATGAAGCGCTTATACTTCTTCCACAGATCATCCTTCCTCAAGACCTCGCCAATAGCGCCCATGTCGAAGCAGGTGTTATCCCGCTTGACGATGCTGATGTTTGGCAGGTCAGGGATGGTGCTCGACGCGTTGGCATCTCCGTTGAAGATGAAGACAAAGTCTGCGGCATTGTGGATACCCTTGTTGACAAAGTAATCCAGGTTTGCCCGCGCGCTTTCGGAATCATGATACGCATACACAATGAGCGGTCGGTCTTTCGAAGACGCGCTCTGTTGGTCTGGAGTTGCGGGCTTAGGCGAAGAGCCATGCGCGATGGATTCAGGGATCGCGGGCTTTTTGAGGGGGACACCCCTGGTTAGCTGCCGGACCCAACAAACTTCGATTGTTACGGCACAGAGCACCGAAATCGCTCGCGGGGGGGAACGGGGTAAAAACACACCAGTTGGAACGGCAGTATCCACCAAGCCGATATCAGGAAGACGGCCGTGAGAAGGCCAATCTTTAGAGGTGTCCAATGCACCCCAAGCGACGGCATTTTCGAAGCGCCTCGTCGTCGTGAAGAGAAGGTTTAAGGTGTATTTCGTCTAAAGAGGAAGAAGGAAACGCTTGGCCGGCTCCGTAGAGATTTGGGCTCAAGATAACGTTGGAGCGGCGCGGCAGGGAAATCCGGACTGACGTGGAAGTGGATGACATGATTGCGAGTTGCACTTCTGAGTGGTCAGACTACCCCGGCCATGTGTGGATATCACCAATAATAGGACCCTTGCCCCTGACGCGGAGCCAACGGAGTGTGGGAGCGGTCGGCGCAAGCGCTCACGGATGCGGACGAGCTAAGCAGAGCTTGTTGCCATCAGCCGAGACTGAGATCTTGTGTGAAACGAGTTTATAGATCTAGACTATTCTAGTTTTAACGTACGAAAGTTGAGGTAAACACCATGACGGTGTCGACAAAAGTATCGCGACTTTTCTGAAGATTCCGCAATAGTCAGGCTGGGAAATTAATCCAAATTTCACGCACCCTGTTTCACACCCATGAACTCATCAGGTGTTCCTCCAGGCAGCAAGTCAGATTTCAGGGCGCTTGCGTTGGTTCAGTCTGCCAATTTGGCTTGGCTGTTGGCGCTTTGCATCCTGAACTGCATAGGACCCCTGGACAGAGGCACCGAATCTGGCAGATATGTGGGGGTCACTGCGCATATTTGGCTCAGCCTGATATCCTGGCCTGCAGCCGAACGAATCACGCATGGCAACACATTGGTGTTGGTGCAAGTTGGAGTTGCTGTGCCATGATTTTGAGACGTTTCCGTCAGACCCCGGTGGTTCTGACGATCTTTGCTGGTGTTTGTTAAAGAGTTCGTCTCACTAGTCCACTGCAACATTGTGGTTTACCGTTTCTTTTCTTTATGCGTTTGTTCTTTGTTGATTCCCAAATGTCAAGACTGAGCCAAATCAATCCCAAAGCGTCTCGCGATGTCTGCAGCTCATGTAAGTCTTCAACAACAGCCGTAGAACATTGATTGAGTCTTGAGGTTACACAAATCATGTCGATGGCCAACTAATCTAATTTGACAACCCAGGACCATGGGAGCCAACCGCATTCCCACGCCAACGAGCAACCAGGCTTAGAAGTTGTGCCACGCGAACAAGAGAAGTTCGCACGCCCAGACGACCCCACGTGGTCCGGACTCCAAGTCTCCTACCATTCTTATTACGATAGCGGCAAGGAAGCAGTTTCTGATCACAACGATACCGACAAAATACACGTAATTTCGAGGCAAAGCGAAGTCGGAGAGCTTGATCTTGAACAACCAAAGCGAGGAAAACGGCTATGGCTCATCATTGGAGGAATCATATTCGTTCTTGTGGTTGCAGCAGCCGTCATCGGTGGGATACTGGGAAGCAAAGCGGCGAAAGCATCGCAAGTCGACGATTCGTTGCCCGCGAGCGAGGCTAGCCCTACCATCACACCGACTCCCACGGATACATCCAACACGACAACAAAATCACAATCAATACGTCAAGGATCGCCACTTACCGTCACCGGGTGGAGTCAGTCTGGGGGAGTTGAACTGTTTCTATTTTATCAAGACGACGAGTATCAAGTACATCGGTCGACATACAACACTGCAAAGACAAGCGACAACTCGTCATGGCAGACGCCCGATAAGTTCAACTCTTCTGCAGATGTGAGTGCTCGCTTAGGGGCAACTATCATTCAGTACGATGCTTCATACCAGGTGGGTAAATTTCAATCCCTGTTGGAAGCCCGGCGTAGGTAAACTGTAAGCGCTAACAGACGGGTCTCCAAAGCCGCAAACCGAAGTCTTTTACACAAACGATGACGGTCGTGTCCTCGGAGTGAGTATCAACGATGCTCTGAGCCCAAACTACGAAGAAGACAGCATCAAGAACATGGTTTTGAACTCGCGTGTCAACAGCAGCGTCGCAGCATATTGGCCTTGGGTCATGTATCAAGAAAGCAGTGGTGGAATTGTCGAGGTGCGAAATCGCCTTCGGACCGAATTCTCACCGGCAGCCGAGTGGGACAAAAAGAGGCTCAATGTTTCTGCGGATAGTGACAGTCGGCTGGCGTTGGTTCCGCTGTCGACCAACTTTAGCAAGATTGCTGTCCAAGGAGGGTATGGGATCTTCTACCAGGTCAATGGAGCCTTGGTCGCGCTGATACCGGATCTTGGATCCGACGAGCTCGCTACTGATTATGCAGACTCATGGCCTACAGGTATGTTATTGTTGTTTGTTGTACTGAACATCCATCAAATAAGCTAATCAACCAAAGGCTTCCCAGCTGTCACGAATATGCCAGGAGGTGCACCGTTTGCTGCGTTCTCAGTTGCCAGAAGCTCGGATACCCTGCAGAGAGTGTTCACTTATGTCCTTTACCTCGACAATGATGCAAACATTAGCGTCATTTACAACGACGCCTCTTCCTGGAAAACTGCTCAGCCAGCTTCGTTGAAGGGTGTCGACGCCGACACCGACATTACTTGTCTCACTATGGCCACGACGCACCGCGACTCTTTCACGCAAGAAGTAGTACTTGGGGCGCAGTCTTTCGATCCAAGGTGCTACTTCCAACGTGAGGGCTTAGTTAGAGAGGTCATTCTGAGCACTAATAACGATTGGGTGGATAATGGAAACGTGCCTATACCGTAAAGAACCTCGACTAGACACGTCCTGCACGTTATATATGAAGCATTTACTAGCAGATATTGATGAATGTACTCTATCTAGAAATAGATTAATAGGACTCTTGCCGGGTTTTGAAATCGGGTCCACGTACAGCGCTTTGATGGAAGACCAAGACATAGGGTGTCTTATCAATGTATTTGATCAGAGCACAGACAAGTATAAACTTCATTGTTATGTGGCGGTATTATGAAAGTTTTTCGCCGTGAAATTGAGGTTGTATAAGTTTCGAAAGCCAGACATGTTGGAAAGTATGTGCACTTATCTTTATTACATCGCGGTGACAGTTCCTATAAAACCAGTGGGGAATTCCAATGTATGATATTGCATCTTTCTATTTCACCAAGCCAATGGTCATATCGTTGGAGGAATACCAGACTCAAGGGCTCGTAACGGATTCTCCTATTGCCAAAATACCTGAAGAACACCGCGTCGAAGTCGATTTGTTTAACACCAGTTCTTCCTGAGAGTTGAGCGCAAAAATAATAGCAGGTTATCGCGTTTCATCTAAGTGATGAAAAGGATACAAAAAGTGTGGTCATTTAGTCTTACCGATGGTCAGATCTTGGGGACTATGTTTCGATTTAGCGAACTCAACTTCTATAGCAAAGAGTTGTTTTTGGTGTAAGATGAATGACTTCGTCAATTCGAAGAGAACTATTAGCATGCAAGACATGCAATCAGTCAAAGTCAATATATCATATTTGGCTAATTCATGGCTTTATCCCCCTTGCTAACTCTGGACTCTGTAATTCCTCTATTCTAGTCTTCGAAATTTGAAGTACAGACCTTGAAGTATGCTATAGAGACATGTTTTTAAGTACGACCTCGACACCTTGTATCATAAAACTTTCACATGTAGATGTCCAAAGATCACTTGTGTAGGTACTAGTACTCAGCTACGTGCGGCGCTACCGATGACGACCGCTATTGAAGCTCTACGAGATACGGCCTATCTTGACCTCAAGTCACGTGCTTACCTCACTTCTATAACTCAGTACCAACGAAACACGATACTTCGATCTGGTCAGAATAAAATGGTTGAGATTGTTGTATAGCGTCGATATGAGAACCGCATGTCATCCATTAGCACGTTGCTCCATTTGCGGCACTTTCTTACCCAACTTCGGCGGGCCGTTAGGACATAAGGCAAGGCGCGCCGCGCAACGCAGGGGAGAAAAAAAACTCAAAAGAACCCGGCGTTCTTTAAAGTCCCTTCGGACGAACTCTTCCCAGCTGAAAGAGAGCGCACTAGGGCTTGGCATCCACCGGTGGCCGAGCTTAACAGACTCTTCGGGCCAGGTACCATCGTCCTTGCACCCTGGCTCAGCGCTTCAGGAGGCCGGTCCGGGAAACGCGCGGCCACGGACCCTCCTCTCCCCATCTTAGAGTCTTCGACTCGTCACTCGGCGGGAAAAGCCTTGGGAGCTTCTTCCTCTTTTGGTCGGGTTGGACGATACCCACGTACCACTTCCGGAAGTGCAATCACGATTCGGGACGTTTCTCGTGAGGCTGTGTAACGTGTATCTTTCGATGCTTTTGGAAAATTTTCCAATGGAGATAGAGCGATGTAAGGCTGGGAAGAAGGGGGAACCGGCCATTCAATGTGGCACAGCAAAGAGCATACCTAGATTGGGGGCATTGGGCACGCAACTCAGTGAGCATGTGCTGCACAAATGACAGCCCACAGCAAAGCTTACTTACAAGCCACACATGGCACATCTGACAGCTGTAGCCGACCTCCCCACTGGGAACGGATAAGGCATCTTCAGCTCGTGGCAAAATAACTCAAAAAAAAGGAAGATCAGAGATGATCAGGGCCAGTTCGAGGCCCCGAGGATCCTCTTTCTCGGCTCTCTATGGATGACGCAAAAGGCATGCGTGCCTGAGATACTGGTGGGAGACGGGGTCTAGAACCTTTTTCTGGCCCATTGAACTTTCAAAGGCTGAGCGAGCGTGAAAGACGCGTTCCCGGGTTTCTGTGGGGGAATGGGTTTGTAAACATCAACAGTAAGCCCCGTCTCGTCTTGACACGCACAGCGGCTGCATCTCGATGATCCGGAAGAAGAAAAAAAAGACATCTGCACGCGCAAGAGCGGATGCGAAGATGACATCTGTAACGGCCGATGAGAGACTATCGAAGAAACCAATGCAGGAGTTTCGTCAGGATGTTCAAGTGTTCTTTGTTCCAATGTTGACGTTCGGCACATGTAAAAGGGGGGTGTGGATGCGGACGGGCGGGCCATCGGCGACCGGATCTAGAACTGGCACTTTGCTCCATAATTCAGCAGCGAAGTTCTCGATCTTGTCGCAGTCGGTAACAGTTCAGCTCAAGTAAAGATACGGAACGACACTGTACTCCCGTACGGTTGTTCACGGCAGGCGTAAGCCGGTCTTCCGGCTCGTGGGCGTTTTGCTGCGGGCTGCAGGGGGAGGTTTGTAAACTTCGTGGAGACTTGGTTCATATTAGTGTAGTGCCTCGGGGATGGGGCACCATGATCCTGAACGGTTTCCATGTGCCTTGCCGTGGTTCGACTTTCCTATGCTAGATCTAACGTTTGGTGTTAGGGCTGTGGCATTTTGCTTTCCGGCCCTCTCCTAAATCAACCCTTTCCCGGGAGTATGGGAATGGAAGGCAGCCGGAATAAGATGTATGTACGGCGGCAAGGTTCTGCTTTCTCGGTCCATGGCCACCATGATTCCGAAAGTGAAGAAAAAGGATTCAAGCCCGACATGCTTCGATGCTCTATTTTCGTAAAGGAAGCGTCATGAATGAATCCTGTTTATGGGACTTTTGCTCGTGATAATATGGAATTTCACCAAGCTGAGGATGAGGAGCCATGTCTTGCCTAAGCAAGCCTATCATGCGGTGGCGCTCATTTCCTGGAAGACGTGCCTAAATTCCAAGATTCTTCCCCGAACACTGGGCTGTTGGGTTTGGAACACGTAAACATGGTGGGAGAACCGTGTTGGAGCTCTGTAATTAAACATGTGAGACTAAGTCTCACATCATGGACGCGGGGTGTTCACAAAGTGAGAGGGGAAATGTCTGAGAAGTTGGTGTGTTGAAAGTCGTCCCATGCCCCAAGCCCCAACGTTGCTCGAATTCGAGATTGCTGATGTAAGACGACGGCACGACGGTAGGATGTTCAGATTTTCAGATGAGAAAAGGACGCCGTTGAATCTGCTTGCATGTCGAGAAGGGCGGGCCTCGGGCGTTTTTGGGGGCGTTGGATGAGGCACTTGGCTAGTGATAATTAGGGCGAGTGAACTGGCGGGATCTGCGGCAAGACCAACGGACACTCAATACCTACCTAGATGAAGCCTAAGCCATGCCAAAGCCCATCTTTCATTTCGCGACGGAGGATGAAGCAATGTTGAAGGGTCGAAGCCATCGCTGCCGTGGCCCATCTAAAGCTGGAAGTGGCGGGCATGAGGCATCTCGTTGAACAGGCGACGCTGGAGAAGAAAAGTGAAGAACTGGGCCTTGCTCCTGCGCTTCGGCTTTCTGATTATCTCGATGGGCTCCCACCCGAAATGGCCGTGATCGGGATCCCCATCCGGCCGCACGCACTGGAAGGATTGGGGGCGGATTTGACAAGTTCCCACAATCGAAACTGGCCGAGCTGGATGGCGGTTTGGACTACTGTGAAGATGGGACGACCGGTGTCATCAGTCACTGGCTGGCGCTTGCCTTGGTGATTCTCGGGCTAATATGTCTCGCTCTCCTTGGAACTCTGGGCAGCTGGGCTTGCTGAGGGGAACTGGGAAGGTGTCCGCGGACAATGACTCGACCCCTTCTCCAGAGCATCCACAGCGAGGAACGGCACAAAAACTGTGGATAGGATTAAACGCTGCTGGATGGGAGAGGAGGATTGCCCCTGCATTGACGCGTCTTGGGAGACGGGGGGAAAGTCGTCGGCATTTTGGAATAAACAGCGCAGCCGCGCAGCGAAAGAGATCGAGTGGTTGATGGCTAGTCCGTTGGCGTCACAGTCAAGAATGGACTCATGGAGCCCTCGGGCGGCGGTGCTTTTAGCAAGTTCTGGTTCGGAAATCCGCAAAGCAAGGAGTAAACGTAAACCGGGAGCCGGGAACCGACTCGAGATAGGAAGCTCGGGGAGCCGATCAACGGAGTTTACAGATGTAGTATCTCTAGGATCTCTGGGACCCTGGATTTTTGGCTTGGGCGTTGGCACGTCGGGCTCTCATCGCCAAAAGGGGGTTCTCGGCATGAGAGACAGGTCATCAACGATGAGAGTGGTTTTTCTTCGTATTAATCAAGAGAGATGGGACCCATTGGAACGCTGCGAAGGTCCTTTGCGGCAGTGCCGGATGTTGGCGGCGGCATTGGTTTCCCGAAGGATGCCGCTTGAGTGGATGAGATGTGATGATTTTGTAACTTGCAAGTTTGAACTTTACGAAATCCAGAGTCTGCTGTCCTTCGCATCGGATTATCCTGCCGAGGGGTTGCTTTTCTGCGTATGAAGGTTTGGGCTGGAGGAGATTGCGGCCTGTGAAGGTTGAAGAGACAGGCACGCAGGGCGAATTCACGGCACAGGGAGAATCGTTGCTTCTTCAGGGGGCCTGCCTACATGTACTATGGTTAAAGGGAGCTTTTTTTGTCACTTGGAAACGGCCCCCAATCAACTTACGACAGTCGGACACTGAAGACGCAACTTGCTGAGCCTTGGTGAGGGAGAGTTCGAGAAGAGGAACCATCTGCTGAGTGCTGACACATGTTCCGAGGATGGGAACCCCTTGGCCTCTTTACCTGAAAAGAGGAGATGCAGGCCAGAAAGGGCCACCCTTTCCCGTCCCTGAACCGCTCTGCCAGAAATAGTTCACAAAACAGCAACATTGTCCTTACACAGTAGAGCGAAGTAGCAACTAGACGCGAGACCGACATGCAGAACGCCTCATGTTCTGGAAGAATGCAGTCTCGACGAAATCCCGCATCAAGAGACGCCATATCAATCCCAGCTGCACATCGCGAAAACCGAGAATGCTGATTCTATCCAAAGTCGTGGTATCGAAAAAAAGCACATGGTCAGGCATTCAACATCATCTCCTCTTTCTTCGCTAGCATCTCGGCACCTGCCTGGGCTTCAATAGCGTCCATTGGTTTGGACTTTTGCATATAGAAATAGATCCCAGCTTAACCTAGTTCGGCCGTCCATGTCGCGCAGCATTTTGTGTGTATGGAGTAATGGAGGCGAAGGGGGACTTCCATGCTTCTTTCAAAATACACGTACATAAAAAATTATTCTATCGATATCAATGAATGATCAGACACCTCGCCTGCAGGAAGCCAGCGAGCAGCCCACAGTAACATGACGTGGGTTTTCCTTCTTGATTGATTGTTGAGGCTGTGCTAAGAAGCAACATCAATATCAAGCAAGGAAAAAGTAACGCATCCCGGGCCATCCTAAGCAGGAACCTGCATCGGATGCCCGAGTCTGCGGACGACTAAGGACAAGCTTCTCGATTAAGCGTTTCTTCCTCGAGAAACCCACCCCCTCTGTTCCGCAGCGACCCAGGATATGCGCGTTCAATTGACCACAACCACTCTCCAACAGCCAGCCAGAAGCTGTCCGATGCCACTGAAGAGATGAAATTCTCCAGTTGCTGCAGCGGTGCTCAGGCGGTGCTCAGACGGTGCTTCTGGCTCTTCGAGATGATGGACCCCCGGAACATGGGAGGCAGAGGGTCGAACACGTTTCCCTGGTGCGTTGGATGATGAGTCCTCATTTGCTGTCTGCGTTTTCCCCATTCCATCCACACTGACTTCGTGGAGAATGGTGACTGGTCTTCTGATCTCTAAGATAGCCATCATCAACTGTTCCTTCTCGCACTGCACGGAGTCAGAGACGGACAGAAAAGCTCCTTTCACAAGCTTCTGTGCTGACCTTGGCGGAAAGACATGGCCGTGACCTTCATCCTCAATCTTGTGTCTGATGCAAGCCACCTGCACACTGTCACTGTGAAGTCCTGCTCGTGAAAGTTGACAGACACAAGACAGTTCAAAAGACGAACCGGCATGCTGCAAGCCTCTCTGTAAGCCTTCTCCCAAGCCTCTTGGCTCGGCCGCCCGTCCTCGTATCCCATCCACACTTCTGGGGTAGAGGAGGGAGAAAGGGGTGGCGTTATCCAAGCCAATCTCGCCGCTGTCCTTCTGCCGTGCACCGCGAGCGAAGCAGCAGGCCTCGAGGCCTCGCTGGCGACGGCATGAGCCGTTCGCCAAAAGCGCTGTAATAATGCATCGATGCACAACGTTGGCCGGCCGAATAGTGAAGGACCGTTGTGTAATTGTGTAAAGTATCCGTACTTCAGGTATGCACACTACTTTATACGGGGCACTGGCGAGACTGAAATCCAACGGTTCGCGGCATCTCGACTAATCTCTCATTCGACCATCATCAGACAGCCGGCCAGACCGGCCGATTTCTCACGCACAAAGCTGCACGTTTCCTCTTCCCCCAGAAAATACGCCCAACTCTGTCAACATCCAATCTGCCGTACCCATTGCAGTACCCGTCCGGGTTCTCCATTTCAGTGGCTCCCGTCCCCAGGTGTTCAAGCCTTGGTGTTGGACAAGATAGGATCCTTCGTACGGATGCGATAGCTGACGATAGCGCCCCAAACCAAACGGTATAGCCAACCGGAAATTTGGCTACTGTGATAAGCGATAGGCCTCGTCTGGGACGGTCAGCCACCGTTGGTTTCCTCGTTTCAAGTTTCAACCTGCGACTTTGGGACCGCTGGCCCCCTCCTCCTACGAGTTTCGTTTTCCCCCTGTGCCGTCGTTTGGGGCGACGACGGCATGAAGATTTGCTGCCTGTTGATGATCATCAGAGACATAGCAGCTGCCAGCTATTACAATAGCAATATCGCTCTGTTACGCTATGAAGTCGTCGACAGACCCGTCATCGTCATTGTCAGCAGTCAACTGCTGGGCATGTGCTGGCCGCCACTGCAGCTCAGAGATCCAAGCCAAAACGTCCGTCCGAACAGTCAAGCGGGAAGGAACAAACAGAAAAGAAAAGCAGGGCCGAATCCTCCCCTCTCACGCGGACGGGTACACACGTTCAGCAGCCTCAGCTGGCCCGCAAGCTGCGCCTGCAACAAAAAAGACGAGACGAAGAAGAAAAGAAAGGCGGAGGGGGAAATAGGCAAGCCCGAGCGAAGGTTCATCCTGTCAGGTAATCCATGGCACCAGCGGCGAAAAAAAAAGTTGCAACGGACGCCGGTGCTCAGGCGTCCCGTCGTACAAATCATGTACGGACGGGTACCTGAGTTTCTGTACGCTCACTGTGGTATTACTGTTCTTTGTTGTGCTCGCTCTGTATCGCACACACACACACACACACACACACACACACACATTTTTATCCCAGGCTCATCCAAAAGCATTCTTGGGTGGTTCTGTCTGGGATGGCCGTATGCACGCCCATGCGCGTGACACCCTGGTAATCAGCGTCAAACACACGGTCCCGGCGACAGCAGGCGATGAAAGAACACACGCGGGAAGAGAGAAAGACGCTGTTCTTCATTTACTATGGGAGCTGCCGTGTTGTGTGGTTGTACGTCAGATAACCGTTAGCAGAGTAGTTTTCCTTCGCGTCTTCGCTTTCGCAACCACGAATCACCTCCTATACTATTTCAAACCGAACCGAACGGCACATTCGGCAGATCGTACACGAGCAGAGAAGATTCCACGGTTGGAAGCGGCCGATCGGGATGCGATGCCCATGAGAAGATCGCATCCTCGAACAGCGAACAGCGCTCAGACTTTCCAGAACACAGGTATGTCTTCACAACTCAATGCCGCTGTTCATAACTCGCCGTGGTATCATCAATGATGTAGCGAGTGTATCAAGTTATTCACCGCCTCCCCCTTTTCCATACACACCGTGCACAACATCAGATTTATGAAGGCCCGCGCCATATTTCGCAGGCGACATCGCACACCAAGAGCTCGTGGTGGTGTGTCGCATATGTGGAGGATTAAATTGGAAAGTGGATCTGATCACTCGACGGCTCGCGATAGCGTGTACCATGAACAGTTCGTCAAGTTGAGCTCATGTTACGACAAGCTGAGGCCTCCCACCGCTTCATCTAACAGACTTCAGTCTCTCCAAACTGTACTCAGTACCGCCAACCCCCGATACACCCCATGATCTGCACAGTCAACTGCGCCCCTGACGGTAATTCTTGTTCCTGAATTCTTGCCTAGGAAGACCCAAACATGGCTCACCCCTGTCGCACTACTGCGGATGTATCCAATCGACGCCAACGTTGGACAGCAGCGCGGAAAGACTTGTACCCAATCGAATCTGTTCGGATGGAGCCAAAGCCAGGCGCGGCATGGAGCCATTGGATAACGGCCGCGTCAAGTTGTCGCTCAGCTATTCCCAAAACTGCCTGGGACCGTGGATTCTCTCCCCCGTTTTCCCTTTCTTCCATCCCGGTCTGTTCACAACTTCACCCCCGTCTCTCTGTGTGCCTCTCTGCCTCTGTGCCGCTGTGAAAGCCACGGACGTGTGGCCAGGGGACCCCTTGGCTGTTACCGAACGCTGCTGCAGGGCATGTCCTAGAGTCGAGGAGGGTGTCCCACTGTCGAAAGTTACGCGCGTGTGCCCTCTCCAGCTGGAAAAGTTGTGCACACACCAGATGGCAGGACGGGAAGCCATCCCTACCTTTGCCTAGACCTGCCCTAGTTTTCACTATTCACTACTCGTATGTACACTACACACTGCTCATGCCTACACTACCACCCTCCTCAAGGCTCTGTGGGCACGGGAGACAGAGCCTGAGAGGACGGAGGTAGACACCACAGAGAGAAAAGAGGAGTTGGTACTTGTGGTATTCTGGGTCTACACCCTCCCGAGCCCCCCGGGATGCCGCAAAGTGGACTCCTAATTTCGCTTTTCCTCCTCATCTCAATCCACTCCGTGGTCGTTTCCCTCTTTTCAACAAAACAAGCCGTTCCCTCCAATTCCACCCGCTGTCACTCGTTCCATTTCCTCCCCTCCCCCCCAAGTCTCTCCCTCTTCCATTGCCTTGCCTTGCCTTGTTACTCATCTTCCCAATCTCGCCAAGGTCTCCTCCTCTTTTTCCCTTGTTCATTTACCCTCTCCTTTCAATGTCATTTACTCGGTGATATCCTCTTTTTTTTACTAGTAAAAGAGAACAACGTGAAGGAAAAAGAACAAGAGGCTTCGTAAAAGCCCAAATCAACTCGCGAAGAAACCATCAGGAGGCCTGTTTGTGCCCACACATTCTTTAGGACTTGCCTTGTTTGCCGTACGACCCGAACACGGTCCTGCTTCGACCGACACACTCGCTCAAACCTAAACAACATCATCATCATCATCATCATCATCATCATCATCATCATCATCATCATCGTCTAACCCTTCCTCCGATCGACCGAATCACGATTCTCTCGACGGTAACAACTTATTAATCGAACTGGGTGGAAAATCGAGAGGACGCTGCTTGGAATTCGAAATCTGGGAAAAGCATTCGGTGGCCGACTGAACCACACCGAGGCACCAACCCCTGAGACCCGTCGACAACCCTCGAACCCGCAAGACCTGTCATCGTCTTCGAGTCCTGGAATCGATTCGAGACCATACCTTCATTCAATCTATTTTTCGTTTCAACGCTTTCGTTATACCCCCCCTCGACAACCATTATGAAGTACTCAGTAGCTGTTCTGGCCGCCGTGGCCTTTGGCTTCAGCTCAGCCCAGACTACCACCACTACGTCAGGATACCAGAAGCCCAGTGAGGCCGCGAGGCCAGGCGCCATCACCAATCACGGATGCTACAACACGTCATCAACGACATGGACGAAGTACCCCGTTGAGAATATCAGTACCGGATCATGCACACAGGAATGCCAATTGAAGCAGAAGAAGAACGTCGCTGCCATCAATGGCGAGGACTGCTACTGCGGTGACTCGTACCCGCCAAAGGTCGACGTTGTCGACGACAAGAAGTGCAACTTCCCTTGCCCATTCTACCCGGAAGAGGCTTGTATGTTACCCAACGTCTCATCCTTCAACTTTGGATCTAATGGCTAACCTTTGTGACAGGCGGTGGTGTCGATGACATGATGTACTACTCCGTCTTCAACACGGGTCTCAAGCTCGTCGTCCCCGACGAAGAGGTCGCAACCACCACAACCGCCGCAGCCACCACCAAGGCCACAACGACAACCGCCGCCAACGGCGTCGTCTCAACCGTCATTGAGACCCCCGTCGCGACAACGTCAGCCGCCGCGACCGAGACGCCCAAGAAGAGCACAAACGTCGCCGGCATCGCCGCGGGCGTCGTCGTCGGTGTCGTCGCCATCGCTGCCATCGTCGGCGCTGCCTTCTTTTTCGTCCGCAGGAAGCGCAACGCCGAGATCGAGGAGGAGCATCGCCGCAACGCTGCCGTCAACGCCTTCATTGGCGGCTCCAAGCCTCCCAGCAGCAGCGGCGTCTCCATGTCCGACTCCCGCATGGATCCTACCCTGGCGCACCGACGCATGAGCGATGGCAGCATTGCCGACAACCAAGATTACTCGCGGAAGATTCTCCGAGTAAGTTTATGAGAGATGAAATGTCTTAAATGAGATGAACCCTGGAAAAGCTAATTCCCTCATAAAGGTTACCAACGCATGAGCACCTCACGTCATGACGACAAACGACCTAAAAGCCTGTCCTGGGGCTTATTTGAATTACTTCTTTCTACACAATTCTGGCATCAAAGGCGTTTTGTGGTGTTCAATCTCCCGACGCTGGCTTACTCGGGGGCGTCTTCCGAAAAAAACGACCAGTGTCGTCGGAGTTTCATTTGTATCATGGTGTAGGGTAACATATCTTGGGAAATTACGATATGGGTTTTTGCGTTGGATACATCTATCAAATCTCTCTTGTTTTGGACACACCATACACAAAAATCCGCCCTTTCGGCCACGACCTCCCTCCCTACGCCGTCCACTCCTTTTGCAACTATCTACAATTTAGACAACTTTTGGATATCACAACCAACCAACCAACCAACCAAACGGGGGCTTTCGTCTCGAGACATTCCCTCTTCTACCCCCCTTACCTACCCTCAAATTACAACCCGCCACTACCATAACACCAATACCTTTTTTAAAAACACGTCACCCGATCCGCCAACCACTTACCACCTACACTGGGTTCTTTCGATTCTACCGATGGGAAGGGGTTGGCAGGCCGAGGTCTTGTTCATCACAAAAAATACGGCGGCAGTTGAATAAAAACCTTATTGAACGACATTTCATGGAAAGAGTCGTAACGGAGTATGATGGCGTACTTCCCCTTCCCATCTTGTGTATAGTAACCATGGTACCTTCATATTATGAACGCGAAGGGGCCTACCTTGGGAAGGATTGTTACACGGGCAGAGATCTTCAATATCATCTTGGATAAAACAGCTTTGGCCCTCCCTTGGGGTGTCCGCGTGAGAAGAGAGAGATTTGGCCAACTTGGGCTCAACTCGATGGGAGCAGGAGATAGGAGGCTGGTGCGGGAATTCTCTTTTGGTTGATACAGCGTGTTCAAAGTTAACTCGGGTTATGGAAATGTGGCGTAGTAATCGAGCAAAATATCCAATGACCTCATATTTCATCACTTGGCCCCTCCTAATCGCATTGACTTGAACGAACGGCCCCGTGAAGGAAGATTTGACAGTGAGATGGCCGTGAACTTGCAGTAGGACATACTCCGACTGCCGCGTCTAGTCACTGGGCGTTCTTCCGAGCGCCGCCCCCGAGCTCCGAGCACGCGCCGTTTGTGTGTGATCCGGCTTGAAGAGAGAGTGTGTGACAAGGTCACCTGACATTCTACAACGGGACTGCAGCCTTTTCTCCCCTACCTACTTACTCTGTTCCTCCCTTGCAGACTGAGGTGCAGTACGGTAAGGTAGTGTAGCCGACTGCCAACTTTTGAGCCTGTCCGTCTCCAGCCTTCTGCCAACATTTTTAAGCTTGGGCAACAAGATCATACCTTGTTTGCGGTCTGCCCGATGAGGGGGGGGGCAGGATACGCATACTCGAGTGAAAAGGCCTCCAGCACGTGGGCATCGAAGACTTTGGGGGGGGGGGGGGGATAAAGACAGAGATTGGGATTGGACGTTGGCTTGTGCTTGCACCACTGGCTGTTCAGTGTTCAGCCTTTTTCTGTGGTTTTAGTGTGGGTGCGCTGGGGAAAGAAAATTGGGGATTGGGTGTGTCAAGTTTAGGCCCCTGACGATCATTTTTCGGGATTTTTTTTTTTGTCGCTCTTGGTGTGTGTGTGGTACTCTGTACATACTGATCGGTCCGTTTGTGTGGTTTGTGAACAATACGTTTTTGGTCGAGTGACTGGGTCAACCAACGCCGATCCTTGGGACCTAAAACCAGTCACATCACGGAGACTAGCCGCCCGAGGTTGACACGTGGGAAGCGAAAAGAGAATAACTTTCTTAGCTCTAGTATGTAAGATCTCGAGTCGTCTCAGTTGTGTTGGTTGGTTCTTGACTTCTTTGTGTTCGTGGAGTCCTCGGGCAGCGAGCGGTGTGTTTTGAGTGGGGTGGTTGGAAGAGAAACAAATGGGCGAGGTGTTGACGCCTGGAGGGGATGTCCCTGACGGTGATGATGCCCATCCCATCCGTTACAGCTCTTAGCCTGACGCCATTTGCAGTGTCCGAGTCGAGAGAGTGTCTACCCTCACCCTTGCTTGGATCCTATCGATTGGTATTGGGGATGGCTTGTCGTTGTTTCAACAAGTGACGAATGATCATGGTCGGCCTTTTTTGGGGGCTGGATATTGGGTTGAAGTTTGACCTCTTGAAGTATCGGGAGTTGCGGACTGGTTGTGGTTCTTTGGTAATGACAACAGGGCTGGCCGTGGAGACTGTGGAGATTTGCAAAGTTGTGGACATCGTGTGGGTTTCTTTTCTGGGGAATCGTTGAAGTCTCTTCCCCTCCTCTAGGCTCTTCTTTCTTCACAGTGAATTGAGCTTGGTTCCAAAGGAAGAGATGACATAGTTGCTAGACTTTGGAGGTGGTTCTGTGCTGCTTGACATATGTGCCGTCGGGCACTACCACTTTCTGGTACCGAGTACAGATCCTTTCCCAAGTGCCGGGTTTCGCGGTGTGGTATCCGGACGCTCGGGATGACGTCGTGATGGGGACACCGGGGCATGAAACGTCGTTGCTTGGTCTTTAGGTCGACGAGGGCTGGGAAGATGTTTGGTAGCGTTATTCGTCCGACTTATATCGTATCAGGTCTGCCGTAGGAAGGAACGGTATTGCAAGCATCAGGTACCCAGTCCTTCATCGCCGGTAATCAATCGATGATCGGTGAGGAGATTTGGGGACGAGTAGATGGAAACGTGATTGAGGGTATACGAGAACTCAAGATACTAAGGTAAGTAGGTAAGGATTGACGAGCTTACGAGGATTTTGTGAGAATCAATCAGTATATGGGGACGACAACACAAAGCGGCCTTATTTCCATCTTGAAATCTCTAACATCGGACTGAAAGAAAGACCATGGAGATTCTGATATTGATCAAAGCTAGATCGATGTTGGCTGCGTTCACCTATAGGGTTTCTATCTCTGGAAGATGTGCTGCCACATGTTGAGATGGCTACAGAGCTGTTCCGAACCTCGCACATATCAACTCTCGGGTTCATCAGAAAGCCTCTGCGCGGAGTTGTTAGTTAGTAACGGAAGTCCTTCCTGCTCCTGTGATTTTGAGGCTCCTGTGCCGTTTGAAGCCCCTTGATATATTTACAAGATAATATAAGGCGCATTTCCTCGTCCACTTCTGCCGTGAAGGTCACATCGGCAGGGGACTGGCGATCGTCGGCAGTGGCCCGAGCAGACGACAGATTACTAGGAGAGTAATATACTAGGGAACGCTTATACAACTCCATATGCATGTTCGAGAACATATACTCAGGGAAGTGGTATTGGCCCTCCTTCAGCTCCCAGGGCCAGTCTGGGACCAGGAAGAGCTGGACTTTAGGGGGTTGATCTTTGGCCTTGTATAGGAATAAAGAGACTTTAACATCCTCCGGCAGCGCGTGCAAAGACACCTCGATGATGCCCCTAAAATCTTCAGTCTGAGCTTCCCCCACGAATCCCCGATGGACGGGTTCCCAGAGATCGCTTGGCTCGACCAAGAGAAGCTTGCCACTTCTGTTGAGGTAGTCTCCCGGAGGCCACTCCAGCTTGAAGAAGTAGCCCGGCCGCTGCTCGAGTCTCCGGCTCTCTGAGCTTGAGACCGTCTTCCTGACGCATATGTCGATGAAACCGCCAGAGGGCCGCCCCTCACTCTCGTAACGGCAGCGCTCTGGCGTCGCGCGGACCCAACCCTCGGCGGTGAAGACCAGGCCGATGTGAATGCGATGTGAATAATGACAAATTTGGCAGTGGCCTTATGTTACAAAAGGGAGAGACCAAGTGGCGCTTGCCTCCGTGTCCATGCCCAAGAGGGTTGTAAATCGGACGCCTTTGTTGGTGATGGAGAATTCGATCCGGTCTGATGTAAGTCGGTTGTATCGCCTATAATTGCTGCAGAATATGAATTCCGCGGGTTCTTTGGCAAATATGCCTCTGTACCGCTGTTCTTCATCAACTGCTACCCAAGCGAAAAGCGACAAATCATCCGTGCCCTTGGCAATCTCTTCCTGGAGCCGCTGGAAGGCTTTGGGGCCCTCGCCGTAGATCATGGGCATATGGATGTCAAAGAGCCCGAGGAGAGAGTAGGCATGATCCTCGACACGTGTCGTTCGGCGATGTGCTGCCCAGGACATCCTGACGGCGACGGGAACAGCGGATAGTTCCTTCTCGAATGTCAAGATTTCGACATCGATGTTGGTTATAGTAGATAGGCACACCGGCCACTCGTCCTTGGAGAACCTCAACGCCCACCCAGCATCGTAAAACTCCACGACAGTCGGTGCGATGAGCTCCTGCAGAGTCCAGCCGCGACTGAACCACTTACACCTAGACAGGTCGGATATCTCATAGACCCCAGGTCCAGTGCCGCCAACTTCCGGGCGGAGATCCGAGACAAGTACCAAGCAGACCTTCGCCTCCTGGTACCATCGAAACATGGAGTTAATGGCTTCGCTGAGCTCGGCGCTGCTGGACTTGTCGATACAGCAGGTGTCGACCCACGCGTATCCCAGGCCCTTCTCCTGTGCAATTTCACAGGTCTTTGCGACCTTGCCAAAGCCTGCCTTGCTCTTGGTCGTCGTTGCCATAGCGGTGGAGGACATTTCCTGGAAAGAGACCTCGTCGTTGTCCCATGTGTGCGAGAGTATCGCGTACTCAACCTCTGATGGGTCCGTGAAGCTCTCAAGGGCGAGGGTCTTCGTATTGAGAAGCCACATTACTGAACAAATAAGAACGGTTCTCAACTAAACACTGCCGAGACGAGGTCGGACGGCAACGTTTCCGTCTGCGAGACGTTTTTCGCATAATGTTCTCTCTTCAAAAGATGGCTTCTCAGCTGAGGAAAAAAGAGGGGAAAGAAGGTGAAAGGTGCCCAGTCCAAATTTGGAAGTGTAGAAGTCAGAATACGCGACGCCGTTGGTCGCTCAACATAGCCTGCATAAGTCTCCCTCGATTGAACCACGGAAGTCTTATTGCGAAAACATCATGCGATCGTCCCTTTTGTGAAATGTTCTGTTCGAATTGACGGCAGTAAGCACGTGAGGCCGCCTTATTATGACGTGGTGACTGGAAATGTCAGCAACGCTCGCAGAAGCATGCTTGACCTACCTCGAGCCCAAGACCCCTCAGGGGTAACCGCATATATGGAGCTTGGAAACTTCATACTAAGCTGTAGCCGATGTAAGTTTTCACATAAGGATAGAGCACCGGAAGGGGACAGAATTGACTGAACGCCGCCGAGAATTTGGCAAAAGAATCCCTGTATTTTCTCAATCGTAATAATGTCGAGTTCACTTTTGATACGCCTCACTTTCCTTGCACTCGCCACGATGCTTTCGCCAATCCTTCCTCTGGCAGTCGGCACTGCAATACTTGACACTCAAGCAGCGCATACACTTCTTCAGAGCGGCGCCGTTCGTCGGCTCCTTGCCACAGTTGGTGCACCTTTCCTTAGGCGGCGTCATACCATTAGCGCGATAATCCTTGTATTTATTCGTGTCCACAATCTCCTCCACAAACGGCACAGCGAATGTCGGGCTAATGGCAATGCGGGTGGCGTATTTGGACGCGGTATCCCACTCTGGGAGCCCAATGAAGTTCTCTGGGAACTGCCCGCGGCCGCAGGAGCATAGGACGGGCTCGCTGGGTTCCAGAGATAGGGGTACGGTGGCGCCGGCCTTGCGGTACTCGCACGACGACTTGTGATTCCACGTCCGGGTACGCTCGGCCAGGGCGGGGAGGACCTTCTTCCAGAGGATGAGTTCCTCGTCGTTGACGGTGACAGAGGCCATCTCGAGCTCTCTCAGAAGCAGAAGGAAGGGCTCTACTTTCTTGATAATGGGGAGCGTGAACGGTAGGACTGCGGCATCGAGGACGACTGAGGCAGAGGCGGCATCGAGACGTAGAGCGGAGACGAAGAAGAGCATGTGAATGCCGCCGCGGTCTGGATGGTTGAGGCAGAAGAGGCCAGTCTGGCCGCCCTGCTGACCCGTGGAGAGCATGGTCATGGTGAAGATCGACTCTTTGAAGTTGACGCGGGGCGAGGGGGCGAGGTCGAGCCTGCTAGCGTTGATTCGCTCGCGCAGTGCTCTTTCACGGACCGAGAACTCGAAGGAGAGGAGAGTGTTGAGGAAGGGAAGCTCATCCTTCTTGGCGACGTTGATGACGGGGAGGCGGTCGAGGTTCAGGTGTGGGGTATTGAGATCGGCTGGGGTGTTTGAGAGACCTCGTGCAAGCTGAGTCGGGTAGACAAAGTCGGTGAGCACCGTGCTCGTTTCTGGATCGCTGCTAGGTTCGGCAAAGGGGGCGATAACTTCGACGTAGGCGGATGTACGAGCGATGCGAGTTTTCGCCTTGCTGGCGTCGATTAGAGTAGGGAAGGTGAGAGGATAGACCAGCTCCTTTTCACCAAACACGACGTTGACAGTGAAAGGAGACACTTGATCAAGGGTGATGGGTAGCTTGTCAGTAAGGAATTTCTTGCCCTTGGCAGACAAGATGTCGAGATGGCCAGTAATGGTTTCGATTCTGTCCTGTCTCTGTGATGCATTGGCGGTGAAGGATGATTCTGTGTCATTGCTCTTTTCGAAATCAGCTTCCGCGACGAGTCCCGCAGCTTCAGAAGCAGCCGGATATCTCGTCTGACCGGGCATGTACTTGGTGATGAAGACGCTATCCTCGTCGGCCAACTTGGCCTGGAAGATTCTGAGTTCGCTACCGAGAGTCTTGCTGAAGACGGCGATACTTTGAGCAGAGCTCAGGACCTCTAGGCGGACATAGGAAGTTTTGCGTTCCACCTGTAAAGCCGCAGCAGAGACGTAGAAGGTTGCGATGAGCGGAGATTCCCCAAGCCAACCTGCTGGGTCTGCATCGACGGTGACCGAGAAGTCGCTGGTGTTACGGTCACCGCTGGATTTGACAGTGCCAAAGATAAGCTGTACTTCGTCGTAGAAGTTGTGCCACTTGTGGTTGGCGTCTTCACCAGAAACCAATGACCCTCTGATAGTGGGAGAACTTATCTTGGCTTGGTCAGAGCCATCAAAGACCCGCGCAATTTTCGCCCGCGGGACAACGAGAGTCACAGCCACGACTTCTGGGACCGATGTCCAGGAATCGAACCCGCCGAGGTTACGGTTAGGCTTGATCTCTCCACGAAGCCAGTCCTCTGAGTCGACTCCTTGAGTATGCATCTGCACAGACAAATCTTGTCTAAGATTGCCCGTGAACATCAGGCTTCTTTCAGTGGATACCTTCTGGAGCAGAGATCCGCAAGCCTTTCCAAAATTGTCGATAGATAGACGTAGCTTGAGGTAATGGAGAAGGGAGACGAGGGTACCCCGGTGGAAGTGGGAGTAGGCCGTGTTGCGGATAAGCTGCGTAACGGATGACTTCGAAATGGACAGCAGCTTCATGGGGTTCTCGTGCGCGAAGACCTTAAGGTAGAGGTTGAAGAAGATGCTGGCTAGCGCCTCGGATTCGATTGCGAGGGGGCCGGAGGCATGGACCCCTGAGAAAAGCTTGCTCTGTTTCCATGTAATCCGACTGTGCACTTGAGCCACCTCGTCGCCCTTCGCCTGGATGCTCTTGGTGCTCAATCCGATCAGGATCTCGTCGACGCTTGAAACGGCAGTGGAGTTGGTCCAGTATTCGACTGCGCTTGCGCCTACCAGCAGTGATATGGTGGGCCCATGGCCGTACAAGAGGGTATCAAAGGCCTCTTTGGCGGTGCTTTCTCTCTTCAGAAGGGTTTCGGTGAAGACAGCCGACCAGGGGTGGGTTGTGAGCAAGGGTAGAGCCGACATGAGAATGTTTAGTGTGCCGAAGTGGTCTGCAAGGTTGGACGTGTCGACGGTATCGAATGCGATCGGAGCTGTTGACTTGGCGCCGTACACATCTTGGTCCAAGGATAGGACGCGGGCATCGAATTGGCGACGGTACCACCCGGCAGACGTCTCCTTGGAGACGACTAAGTGCTGCAGAGTGTGGCAGAATACAAGAGCTTCACTGGCGATAGAACGGATCACCAACTTCTTCCCCCGAAGAAGAGTCCCGCAGGCAGCCGCCCACTCTCGGAATTGTGTCTTTGCAGCCGAGAAAACCCTGGCCCTCTCATCCTGTTGGTCAGGCTTCAGAGGAGACTGGTCGGTCAAGGGGATGAAGGCCGCAGCAAGATGGAAGCCGAGGATAGGGTCGGTCCCGTAGTGCAAGAGGTGGTGTTTCGACAGTGAGGCATAGAAGAGGGGGTTTGGGTTGCTGACGGCACCGTTGGGTGTAGCGTCGGCGGACTTCCAGAACTGCTGAGAAGCTTCGGTGACTTCCTGTGCGTTTTGTAGTGCAGCAGGAGCAGCTGATCGCAAACCGGTGAAAGCTACAGCGTTGCCAAAGGCAATTCTCTTCATCTCAATAGAGTGTTTGAGATTGGCAGTCAGGGCTTCGGAGTTGGCGATGATGTTATCGGACGCAGCGGCATTATCATAACTGATCCAGACGGCACGAACGTCATCGAGGGTAGCCTGATCACAGAAGGGCAGGACCTTGCCGTATGAGCTTGCTTTCCATGACTTCAGAGACTCTGATGCTTTGAGCAGCTTCTTGACTTGAGATGATAGAATGTGTAGGTCTGAGCTGTCAATGTGAAGGTTGTAGTACAAGTTCCAGGGGGTATTTCCGGAGACATTGTTATTATCGATGAGCAGAGAGAAGAGAAAGATGTTGCGCGCTTCAGATGGTCAGCAAATACTCAATGACGAGTGCGAACCTTGAACATACCCAAGATAGCTTCATCGATGTCATTGACTGTGATATCCAAATTGCGACCAGCTAATGGCGAGTTAGTCGGGTGGATTTGTTTTCAGCAAGACCTATACAACACTTACGTAGTCCAATTTCATTGTAGGCTGTGTAAATGATGTTTCTCACATCGCCGCAACCAAGGAGTAGTAGACTGGCATCGACTCCATTAGGCAGGTTTTTGGCTAGGTTGATAGCCGGTGTATTGCCTAGCGCATAGAAGTAGGAGGTCGAGTTGGCAACAGTTGGGGTGAACATTGTAACTGAAAGCGAGCCTGGGAGGACTCAGAGGATGTAAATGTACTTGATAATGAAGGCAGAGAGGAGTACGGAGTACAGTCTCTGTATGCTTCAAGGTGTTAGAATGCCCCTGTAAGGTCGACGTCCCACCACCAAAGGCTTGCCCGCGTGAACAAAGTAGGAAGAGAAGAGGACGAATTGTGGTCTCAGACCAACTTGTGGTTCATAGGTCATGGAGGGAAACTCCCAAAGTGAACGAGATGAAGCCTCAAGAGATGAAGGAATGTGCAAAGGAAGTCCAACTTGATCTGTCTTTCCTCTGTCGTCTTATTCAAGCGGAAGTCGGGCAGGATGGAGGCACGCAGTCTTGGGGACGAGATGAGAGCTTTGGAGGGGTCGGCGACAGCTGGCACCAGATGGAATGGCTGCCCCCCAATCATACGTGAGCTGACCGCCCTCACCAGCCACATCGTCAGCCCGGCAGAAAGAGCAGGTGGAGTCTCCAGCCACACCATTTCGATGCTTTTCGCGACGCCCATCGCGTTTTTGTTTCCCAGCTACAGCACTAGAGGCATCAACGTGTAGCTTGCGCAAAAGTCAACGCACCTCCATCACTACGATTTTCGACGGCCGGGCGATATAATCTTCCTCCACACTACATCGATTGCTCTCAAATTAAGAGAGGGCT